AGTGGGAGTGTTACCTCTTGATGCTGCAGCCGGGGGCCTTCCACTCGTAGTTGACATACTCCAAGTCGGGGCGCCCTCTGTGATGCCCGTGTCACAGTCGAATCAAAACCGTGAGGAACCCCATGTGCTCAGCATCATTACCTCTTGATGCTGCACCCCGGCGCCTTCCACTCGTAGTTGACATACTCCAAGTCGGGGCGCCCTTTTCTATGCCCGTTTTTGTGTCCTATTACCTCTTAATGTCACATCCAGAAGCCTTCCACTCGTAGTTGACATACTCCGAGTCGGGGCGCCCTCTCTCATGCCCTTGCCACTCTCAACACCACTCCAAACCCATCTACTGAGCATTTATACCTCTTGATGTTACACCCGTTGGCCTTCCACTCGTAGTTGACATACTCCGAGTCGGGGCGTCCGTTGCGGTCGCAGTTGAGCTGCGAGCGAATGCTCTGGCAGCTGAAGCCCGTGTAGCGCTTCACAAAGGGATTGCGCACCCAGCTGAGTGCGGAAAGGAGGGAGAGATAAGTGCGAAAGAAGGAGAGATGAGTGTGGGAGAGGGAGAGAGGCTTAAGACGTTGCTCTGGCAGCTGAAGCCCGTGTAGCGCTTCACCCACGGGTTGCGCACCCATCTGGGTGGGGAGGAGAGGGGAGATGAGAGCGAGAGAGAGACGGAGAGAGAGGCGACTGCGAGAAACGGCGAGAGGCGAGACATTTTTCTGGCAGCTTTAGCTGGTGTAGCGCTTCATCCAGGTGTTGCGTACCCAGGTGTTGCGTACCCCAGCTGACTCAGGAAAAAGGGAGAGATGCGTGTGGGAAAGGAAGACAGCCCGAGAGACATTGCTCTGGGCGCAGCTGAAGCCCGCGTCGCGCTTCACACGGGGGTTGCGTACTTGGCTGATTGTAGAAAGGCGGGAGAGATGAGTGTGGGACAAAAAGGAAGAGAGGCGTACGGCATGCCTCTGGCAATCGTTACCAGCGTGCTGTAACGCTAGATGCGGACGTTTATATGCGCCTGGCTAGTATACACGCCAACCTGGGAGGGCGTCATAGAATGGAGTGGTGGAAGGACGAAGGGGTAACCCGAATCGCGATGGCTGCGGTGGGGTGCACAAGCGGCCGCCGGCCGACTCACCGGCCGGCACTCAGGTCGCATTGCGACAGCGGGTTCGCGGAATCCGTCGACGTGGCATTGGAGGCCTCCACGTGGCAACGGGGTCCCGTCAAGGACAGCGCTGACGTCACCAAGATAAGGAGCAACAGGCAAGTCATTCTCGTGAATCCCGCGACAAATTCGACAGGTATTTCAACGTTCCGCTCCGAGCTTAACGAAAATTTGTCGGAAATCGTGACACGAGATTCGCCAGGAAATGCGGCGTGAAATTCGCCGAGGCTCGGGGCTGTGCTGATTCAGCAGCAGACGGGAGGGGAGCTGACCAAGAAAAGGCCACCTCGTATGATTTGCCACGTGAGCCGCCTAACAAATCCCAGCTCAAATCAGTATTAGAGCCAGTATTTGAGCTGCTTTGGTTGGTGCTGCCTGTCCTCTCCTTCCATTTGTTCCTTATCACAGGGATAAGTTTGTGGGATTCGGTGGGGTGCTTCGTCTTCACAATAGTTTGCAAAACGGTTGGGTAGGATCCTGCATGAACGATGCAAATCCACTCGGCCTCGGATTCGAATCGGAGTTGTTCGGTGAAGCGGCGTGAATTTCTTTTTCTTGCGCCCATTTCATCCACACGAACGGCGAATTGTGGCTCAAGGTGGCGCCCACCCAGACGGTTATTGTGGCCCCTCGCCACACCAGCAGCGCCCTTCGCCAAACCCCCAACTCGGCTCAGCCACTCACGAGATATGCGATTACTGTATCGTACGCTTGACGAAATGCTCAAATCCATGTCCATCTACAGTAAATGTGGTGAACTCTGTTTTCGCAAATCAGGACCACCATTTGACTCGTCATCGAGTCGTGAGACTGTAGAAAGGCGGCGCTGCGCCTCGGACGAAGGGGTTCAACAACTCCCCAGAGCCAGATATTCGAGATTCACCTAAGAGAAGACCCATTAACGCAACTGTATGAAAGGATAGACCATGTTGAATCTAAATGGAAGCAGAAAGAGTCAGTTATATACTCTACAGGGAAACAGAATGTTCGATCACCAGTTCTACTCTTGATACTATCTATGTAATGAGTATGTAAGCGCCGTGTCAAATGGACTTGGTCATGTAGGAGAACATGAGGTCCGACCATGTGTCAGGGACGCCAGGAACACAAAAATGGGAGCAGTCATCATCCGACGTCCCTGCCCTGAACTGTGCCATGTGAGCGTCGGGTCTCATCAAGCTGGCCCTGCTCACGTCAAGAACCTTGAAGGTCGGGTTTCCTTGGAACACCTGAAGCAAAACCAGCAATGAAGGAAGAGGGGAAACAATATTCGGACATTTGAATGGAAAGATATGGCAGCATCGGACAGGCCTTGGAAACTCAAGAGCCCTAAAGCCATCGGCTAGGAAAACCCCATCACCCTCACTACAAGCACACGATCCAACATACCGCAAATCACTCATCCTCACACTGCTCTCAGGCTGAACCTCCATCACCACACACACACACACACTCACCTTCACCACAGCAGTCCTCCCTTCGAGTGCGTCCGATTTCTTGGAAGCAAACGCCATCTGCTTGGAGGTCATAGGCCCCTTGGCCTGATTGCACTCCTTCACCGAGTCAGTAGCAGCAAACGCAGAGTCGTAATGCGAGGCCGTGTAGGTGAGCACCATGGGCATGCCCGTGTACCCAGAGCTTGAGATGTAGTTGCGCATTGTCGTGTATGACGCCGTCATTGCTGCCGATGACGTCATGCCCGTCTGCTGCTGCTTCTTCACAAACCACTGCCGCAGGTTCCCGGACTGCAGGTTGGGTATGTGTGAGAGGGGGGACATGGGAAGGAAAACGGAAAGAGCATGACTTTCTAGATGAGCCTTCTCCTTCCTTACCTTCCCTTAAAGATTGCACTCACACTCATTCAAACGCACACAAGAGCAATTGCAGCGCCATTGGTGAACCAGCGACCTGCAGAGAACTACACCACAAAGTGCGAGCGAACTCAACTACTCAAGCACGCAAACGCAAACGTACATTGGTGAACCAGTGGCCGGCAGAGAACACCACGTAGTGCGAGTACCGTAGAAACGGAGTCCACTCCTTGCTGGCCACGTCCAGGTTCACCTTCCACGGACTGCTGCTGGACGCCGCGCCCTGAAGCATGCAAGAAGGGGGGAAGAGAGGGGGGAGGGAGGAGAGGGGTGTGAGGCAATGCAGAGAGGCACACAACAGGCGGCTGATTGCTGGGCACGTCCAGGTTCACCTTCCACGGACTGCTGCTGGACGCTGAGCCCTGAAGCATGCAAGGGGAGCGGGACGAGGGGAGGGGGAAAGGCAGGGAAGGGAGCAGGTAGTGAGGCTAAGCGGGCGGGGGAGAAACGTGGCGTTGTACTGCGGCACGACGTAGCCCTGCGCGGAGAGGCAAGCGCGTGACTGGCCTGCGGTAGCGCACACACACGCAGACGTACCACGGGGGTTGCGTCGACGAGGAAGCTGGACGCAATATTAAGGAACGTGGCGTTGTATTGCGGCACGACGTAGCCCTGCGCGGAGAGGCAAGCACATGCGCATGCCTGCCCAGCCTTCACCTAGCGCATCAACGTACCACGGGGGTTGCGTCGACGAGGAAGCTGGACGCGATAGTGAGGAACGTGGCGTTGTACTGCGGCACGACGTAGCCCTGCGCGGAGAGGCAAGCGCATGTCTACCCAGGCAACACCTCACAGTACGTACCACGGGTGTTGCGTCGACGAGGAAGCTGGACGCAATAGTGAGAAATGTGGCTTTGAATTGCGGCACGACGTAGCCCTGCGCGGAGGGCCTTCATCACACGGGAATCGTGCGGGAACTACACCGTACATCAGCGTACCACGGGGGTTGCATCGACGAGGAAGCTGGACGCGATAGTGAGGAACGTGGCGTTGTACTGCGGCACGACGTAGCCCTGCGCGGAGAGGCTTCACCACACGCGAACCTTGTGAGTTACCACGACTTATACCAACGTATTACAGACGTTGCGTCGACAAGGAAGCTCGAGGCGATGGTGAGGAACGTGGCGTTGTATTGCGGCACGACGTAGCCCTGCGCGGAGGGCCTTCATCACACGGGAATCGTGCGGGAACTACAACGTATATCAACGTACCACGGGGGTTGCGTCGACGAGGAAGCTCGAGGCGATGGTAAGGAACGTGGCGTTGTACTGCGGCACGACGTAGCCCTGCGCGGAGAGGCTTCACCACACGCAAACCTTGTGGGAACCACAACTTATACCAACGTACCACGGGGATTGCGTCGACCAAGAAGCTCGAGGCAATAGTGAGGAACGTGGCGTTGTACTGCGGCACGACGTAGCCCTGCGCGGAGAGGCCGGTCTTGAAGAGCGCGCCGTTGACGTCCTTGGTGGCGGCGACGCTCTCGACGAGGCAGCGCACGGAGTGCTGGAGGTTGGGGTTGAACGAGTCGCCCACGCCCAGAAACACCTTGTTCCGCATCAGCGACAGGAACGCCTTGGGGTCGAACCTGCGGCGGCAGTGGAAGGGAACGGGAGGAGGAGGTGGGGGAGTGATAAGACAAGGGGAGTCGCCCACGCCCAGTAACACCTTGTTACGCATCAGCTGCAGAAACGCCTTCGGGCCGAACCTGCACGCGGAGCAGGGGAATGGGAGGGTCGGGGAGGAGGGGGTAGTAAGACGTAGCGCCCCTTTCGCAGAATCACCCTCTTGCGCATCAGCTGCTGGAACGCCTTTGGGTCGAGCCTAAGGCGGTGCGGGTGTGGGAAGGAGGGCAGAGCAGAGGGAGAGGAAGGAGGTGGGGGTGTGAAGTAAAGAAACGAGCCGAGGGGAGGCTGGAGGGGTGATGAGGGGTTGTTGGTAGAAAGTGATGACAAGGAGCAGTGCGGAGGAGCCATGCAAAGCGAGGCGCGGAGGAGCTCGGTAGGGGTTCCGGAGCATGCCCAGAGAGCCCTTGGAATAGAAATGCATCTGTTTGGATGGGAAAAATACGTCTGTTAGGTTCCTGTTCTGACACTCGCTTATTTCGTTAGTTTTCTAAGCGACGAAGCTTTGCACGAGTTCCATAAGGGTCTCCTTCGCTGCTCTTCGCCTCGCCACTCGCAGCTAAAAACCTCCGTATTTTCTAACCTTTCTTGTGCAGCTAAGACTCCAGGCATTGCTCAGTCCAAACCGGTTTGTACCTCTGGATGTTGCAACCGGGGCTTTTCCATTCGTAGTTGAGATACTCCGTGTCCTTGCGGCCGTTCTTCTGGCAGTTGAGGCTCGACCGGATGCTCTTGCACGTCAACCCCGTGTAGCGCTTCGGAAGCGACGGGTTGCGAACCCATCTGCGGAGGTGGGAGGGATGAGAGAGGGAAGTGAGAGGGAGAGGTGAGAAGTGAGTGGTGAGAGCGAGTAGTGAGTGCGGCGGCAGCAACGGAAACCGAGCAAGGGGGAGGTCGGTGCTTCTCTTTCAGCTCGTGAAGCGCTTCGCCAATGCGCGGTCGCGACGAGCATGTGAGCGAATGATCACAAGCTGGGCCTCGCCAGGGGAAAGAGCAGCAGTGGCACTCCTGACACATTCTTCCCGTTCCACATCGGTGTGTGTTCCGACGCAACTGGTAGCGACGAGGAAAATGGAAGAGAGGATTTTGGGAGAGAAAAACCTGTCGGCTTGGGAGGTGGTTTTGGAAAGCGGTAACTGGACTCGGATGAAGAGAATGGATATTTAGCAGCCGCGTATAAGGGTGCGTACAAGCCGAAGATACGAGAACACGGATCGAAATGAGGAAGGGTCTTGGCCTAGACATGCGCAGCTTTGGTACGCTTACAATCGGCATTCACGAGTCAAGACCCTAGGTTGGAGAAGGGACTCACGAGCCTGCATTCAGATCGCACTTCCCGCCTTGAGCTTCCACGTGGCATTGGTAGCATTGGACTAACAGCAGAAGTAAAAGCGCCACTGGCGTCGCGCGAAGCATCCTCAAGAGCACGATAGCCATAACGGCTTGAAAAAAGTGCGTGCTAAACCGCTACGAGTATGACGGTTATTCTCCACACTACGATTAAACTCTCTGCACAGTTTTCACTGGTGTTGGTGTTAGAACCTGAGTCACACCTACAGGACTCTGAGAGGCGATGGGATGCTGGTGACTGGCAGTGTCCTTCACACTCGTGCTACTATTGATAAGCTTTTGAGGCACCTCGATATGCTCGTGAACGGGCGGGTGACTCTCTATGGCTTTTGATTACGCACGCTCTATGGTGCTTGCACGCACGGCGATTGACGGCCACCGTCGTCTTGACTGATTATTTGACCGATTAGTCAGGCAGTCGTGACGACTCGACGACAGCATCGCGAGGGAGGACTCGTCGTGGCTCATGAAGTTCAAGTCCCGAGGGAACATGAGTCGGCCAGGAGGACTGGTGATTGGCTAGTTTACCGCGGGCGACAACATGTGAGGTCGTGGCGGCTAACCGGCAGACAGCGGTGGTCGTCAGGATGGGTACCGCGGTCCGTGAGAACGGCGGTGCAAGTGTGAATGGAGTGTTATGGAGGGCGTGCGAGCAAGCACTACTGTCCGTGGCAATGCACCAATTATTTGTCCCTCCAGTCGAGGAGATTCTCAAGGGGGGAGTCCCTCGAGCATTTTTGTGGGGATGTCAGGGTGGTGCACTGAATTCATCGCGGTCCGCAAATGGTTGCGTGGCTGATTCTTCCCCAACCAACGGTTGGATTCTACAGTTCAGGCATTGAGTTCAGGGGAGATGGCCGTTGGAGAACGTGAGGTTCGCGCGTTCTGGCGGTCAGCTCAAAGGCCGTTCTCGCGCCAGTTCTGGCGCTCCAGTGCACACCAATATGATTTCCAATAAATCCAATAAGTTACACCACGTCGTGCAAATGAAGATGTCATGATTTCTATCTGGTGGTTTGGAAGAACCTCCAATGAACTAACGGTCAGGCCATACCTGCTTATCCTAGTCATACATCTAGTCAGATACGGTGAAGGTCAGATAAAACAGACAAATGGCTAGCCAATATCAACTCCATGCCAGCAATGGCTGGCTGTGCCTTGTACAGCATAAAGTATATGATAATTAGTTGTAACTTCACAGGCCAATGCTTGAACTCCCACATACTTGGGAAATTACCTGGATAGTTAGGGAATTCACAATCGCCTTGCATTTCATATATGCCTGAGAAGTGAGCAGCAATGATAGAGTGAGTCAAAACTCATAGGGAAGTACCGTAAGCATAGTGTCAAATCACCAGACTTTCCTGATCGTCCGTAACACGTTAACATGTAAACATAGACTGGTTACCTTCACTTGTGGTGAGGTCACACTGTTGTAACGAATTCGGGCAAGTGTGGTTATTAGCACCTGGAGTAAAGCAGTCAGGGTGGGAATAGGAAAATGCAGGCAGAAGGACGAGCTGGAGAGGGAGAAGCTGAAAGAGGGTATTTAAAAACCAAATCTGCCCAGGAACTCAACAAGCACCACACAGGTCCAACCCTCACAATGTTACGGTACACTCCACGGCCATGTTACCTTGTTGCGGTACACTCCACGGCCATGTTACCTTGTTGGTTGCACTCACATCTATGGGTAGTTTCTGACTCATGACAGCAATGAGGGTACTGTAGCTGCTGCCGGACACAATGGGGTAGTCAACAATCCTCATGGGCACAGCAAAAGGTGCAGTCGTGTGTCCCTTCACTTGCACATTATGAATCTGGGAGGTGGGAGAGGTGTGCAATGATGGTGTGGGATGGAGAGTGATTAAATGGAGCAGGGAAAAGGCGGAGGTGCTTGATTGTGGAGTCCAGGGGGGGCATTGATACAAAGGTGAAGCGGTGGACCAGCGAGAGAACATGAGAATGGGAAGTAGTGTGTGGGCTGTTGGAGGGAGGGGGAAGGGGTGTGTGACTGTGTATCTTTGTGTGTGTGTGTGTGTGTGTGTGTGTGTTGTGTGTGTGTGTGTGTGTGTGTGCAGACCGATTGAGGCAGAAGCGAGTCTCACTTTTGTGTTCCCTACGCGTCTCCCTTTGTACTTCGCGTTCATCCAAATGGTATCAGCGAGCATCGTATACGCGTTAGGGTTGAGCATGCTACCCGACGCGTTCATCCTTGCACTCATGTACAGCGCCAGACTCTGGGGCTCCATCGGGTTACCATCTATTCGCAGCTGTAACGCCTGCACCACGATTTCGCCAACAGTCACCTTCGGCTCCTTGGGAATGGGTAGTTTATCAACCAGTAGTTTGTCTATGAATTCTGCTCCGGTAGTTGCTGATTCTGAAGCCCCCCTGGATGCACCGGCGCGTTGCTTCAACGTCCGCCGCGTCCTCGCCTGGTCCTGCGCTTGCTGGCTCTGCCTTCCTTGCTGCTCACTCGCCCGACGCTGCTTCGGCCATGTCAGCCTCACGTTCAACAGGCTGGAAACCTCGAGTACCCGTTGCTCGTTGTCCATTCGCCTCGTCGCTTCTTCGAACCAGTCTCCGTCTTCCCGCATCATCCGCTCTCTCCTATCAAAAGCTCCGCTATCACCGCCATCACCGGTGTAAACGCGTGATTCTCTCTGCTGGAATGCGCGAACCAACACATGATCACGACGGGAAGCTGGAACATGAAACCAGCGGTTCTGAGGGGTCAGACGGCTTGAGAGGAGCACCGCACTGCACGTGGCAAGGATTGTGAAGATTGCGAGGATTTTCGTAACCATAGCAGCCACGTAGCAACTCGTGTCGACAGGTCGCGGTTCTAACCCTACCTCCCTCCTCCTCGCATCTCTCGCTGTCTCACTGCTCTTGTCGCTCGGATCATGCGTCGTCGCACTGTTCTTGTCGCTCAGATCATGCGTCGTCGCACTGATAATGTCCCTCTCATCACGTGCTGTCGTCCTGCTCCCGTCGTTGGCATCGTGCACTGCCACCATCGTCTCGCGCCTCGGCTCAGACTGTATCCTGATGCCGTACGCCTCAGCTCACTATCCGTGTCTGACACATATCAAAGGCATCGACGATGACCTGCAATCGGTTCGGCACTACGGGTCGTTTTTTCCTATTAATTAGAACCGTAGGAGGCCGTATTGGCACGCTTTGAGATTGAACTAGATCAGTCAGTACCCTAAACAGAATCTCTTTTGCGCTTGTTCCCTGCTGCATCCCTTTGGGCTTCAGCCATGTGACGTACAAATTGAAGCACGCCTGTACAGCCTGCGGGAGGAAAGGGCGACTATCCACGAAATCGAGGCGAGGCAGTGGCTGGCGGCGAAATGAATCAAGGCGAGGAGGAGAAACAACCTTCCACCCCACCCCACCCACCAAATCTCAAGTTCCGCGAACGTATCGCTTCGCGAGTCCAGATTCGCGAATCGAGAATGGGACTGACACATGGGCGACGACAGCCACACAATCGAAACATGCGAAGCAAAATGGGAGGGCGAAATTGGCGCAGAATCACGTTTCGGTGTGAAATAATTTCCCACTATAAGCACAACGCCGACAGGCTGGGACAACAGGTGCTGTATGGGGTCTGCTAAAATAGGATGCAAATTAGTTCTTCTTATGAACCAAAACCGCTTATATGGAAAACGAACGAGTCCTTTACTTTTCTAGAAATCTTAGGGATGAGAACAAGCTTTGGCGAAACGTAAAAACTTGGAGAGCCCTTCATGTAGAGCCTAGGATGCTAATCTGACAATCTAGCAAGGTAATGAGCTGCTGAATGAGCCGCCTATGGCTCCACAACAACCTCTCAGCAGCAGAGTTGATGCTCCAATCGCCAGACGCCACATCCATACCACTACCACCTTCGCCAGAATCACCATTGCCAACCTTCTGCAGTTCATCTTCCCTGTCTCTGCTGCCTTCGTTTGAAGTGATGCTTGCATCCTGCTGGCCTGATGTTTCTCCCTTCACCCCTTCTTTCACCACCTTGCACAAATCACCAACCACTTGCCCTGCTATTGCCCGTTCATCCTCTACAGCTTCACTACTGTTCACGCCAGGGAGCACCTGAATAAGAGAAGAAGCCATGTCACTATCGGGCAGACGACCCTTACCAGTAACCTGACCAGACAAGGTCTTTCGAAGGGACTGTAATCCTGCCCGAGCCAACTCCCGGGCAGCTTTGACTGCCCGAACCACCTCCTCCGGCAGGCTCTGCTGGGCCACATCCTGGGCGGTCTTTTTTGTCTTCTTCCCAGCAGGTGGTTGGCTCTGTGCCGTAGCGTGCCAGTGGGATATGATAAGCGACGACCAGAAGGCTGACTCACCAACAAACAATCCCAGAGCGCACGACAGCAGCTTCCCAGAAACTACCAGAGGCGGCAGGTGCTTCTTTGAAGCTTCTAAAGAATCTTCCGTAGAAGCTTCGGGGGAAGCTGCTGGCAGCGAGCATTCCTTGTGGAACAGCTGAAGGATGGCGGCAAGAGCTGCAGATACAGCCTGCACCAGTCCCACCGCCCTCTTGGCACTCACAGCAGTGGCAGCAGAAGCTGTGGGTGCACTGTCGTTGGTGCTACTGGCAGTGGCAGCGGTGGTGGGGGATTGAAGGCGGTGCAGTGAGAGTGAGGCAGAGAAGAGCAGACAGGGCAGCCGGGCTAGCAGAGATGGCAGGTCCTGCTGCTGCTGGGGGGAAGCAGGGGAGAACAAGGATTGGGGGGAGGACTGTTTCTGAGGCGCCGTGTGAAGAGGTGGCAAATCTGGCTGCTGCTAGGGAGGAGATGGAAGGAGAGAGATATGAAGGGAAGGGAGAACAGGGGGGAAGTGAGGCGACAGCTGTGGTGCAGCGGAGACATTTGAGTGGATTCAAGAGGCAGGGCAGGGCTGCATTGCATTATGATGGGCCCATCTTCCTCACTCCAGGAGGCTGCCTCTTGTTGCTCTTGTTGCTCTCGTGGCACCATTTGCATCTCTCACCCACAGCCACTCACCAGGGCGGAGTCAACCACTCCCTCCTCCGCCATCCGCTCCATCTCCTCCTCACCCACCGCACTCAACCGGCAGTACTGCCGCAGCACCGCTTCCCACTCCCCTTGCACCGCCTCTAGCTCCTCTTCACTCCCTCCAATCCCACCTTCACTCGTTGCTTTTAATGCCCCTTCGCCCTTATCACCCTTGCTCCCTCCCCCGCTTCCTTCCTTCCCCCCTCCACTCCCTTTCCCCTTCCCTCCGTCACCACTTTTCCCCCCCTTCCCCTTCCCGCCCTTCCCCTTCCCCCCTGCGCCCTCCCCTCCTCTCCCCCCTCCTGCTGCACCTCCCCCAACTCCCACCTCCCCTTTCGGTGCTTGAGGTGGGAGGAGGTGGGAGGGGGAGGAGAGGGAGAGGAAGAGGAGGCGGGGGAGGAGGCCTCTTGACTGCGCGTGCTGTAGCAACAGAGCCTCGCGGGTTTGTTGCTGGTGGTGGGGGCAAAGCGAGGGTGAGAAAGGACAAGTGGGGGGACAAGTGCAGAAAGGAATAGTCAGGTGAGTTTCAGCAGAGCATTGAAAGAGACTTCTAAGTGCTTTGCAGTGTGTAGAAAACGTGGCGGCTCAGCAGCAATGACAAGAAGGCAGTTTCTTCCCCTAGAGTGGTCAAGTAGATATTTTGAAATGAGGTGCATCATGTTTGCAAGTATGGCTGGTGGCGCACCTTGCTTGGTGACTCGAAGCTGGTCCAGCTGTCAGGCGGTGATTGGCCTGCAAATAGGGATGCCAAGGAGGAGAGAAGGAGAGAGTGAAAAGGGTGAGAGAACGCTCAAAGGAAAGCATCCCACAAGGGCTGCACCCTCCATTCTACCCTCCAATTTTAATTCAACAATCCTCTTCCTTCCCAATCTGTTGCCCGTGAACAAAACTCCCACCACCGTGCCTCGTCCACACGGCTCAAGCTGAGCACTGGAGGGCAGAGGCAGGGGTCTCATCCCAGACTTCTCAAACTCGACTCAAACTCGACTCAAGGGTCTCCTCACAGACTTACACACCAGTCCTCATCCAACCATAAAGGAGTCAGGAGAGGGGAGGGTGGAAGGGTAGGTACAAAGGAGGTGAGAGCAGAAGGGAGAAATACCTTTATTGCACGCCCCAAGCAGACTGGTGAAGGGAAGAGGCAGGGGGTCCCACCAGGGCCTCACTCCCCAGTCCTCGTTCAGCCGAACCAAACCCAACTGCTCCCCAACCACCTGCCGAACCTCCTCCCGCCCGCCTCCTGCTGCCCGCAGCACCTCCCGGACCTGCGCCACAGGCTCGGAAGAAGTTGCCTGGTTTGGAGCTGCCGAGGCGGATTGAGTGGTTTGGATAGATGAGGTGAGGGCTGAGGGGTGGGAGGAGGGGGGGAGGAGGGCGAGCGGGAGGGAGAGGAGGAGGGAGTTGGGCGAGAGGAGGAGGCGCTGATGGGAGTGACTTAGGCGATGGTGGAAAGCAGCAAACTCACGGATCTGACACGGGGGAAGGAGGGCAGGGGCAGGGGGGATTGGGGAAGGGGGTGGTGGGAATATAGAATGAATGGGAGGACGCGCTGGTGCGAGTTCTGCAGGCGACGGGGGAATGCAGCGAACTCGTGGGGGAAGCGGGAATGGGGAAAGGGGAACGGGGACTGGGGAAAGGGGAAGGGAATGGGGACTGGGGAAAGGGGAATGGGGACTGGGGAAAGGGGAATAGGGAATGGGGAAAGGGGGGGAATGGGGAATGGGGAAAGGGGAATGGGGAATGGGGAAAGGGGAATGGGGAAGGGGCGAATGGGGAGCGGGAAGGTGGGAGGAGAAAGGGAATAGGCAGAAAGAGTGTGAAGGGAGAAAGGAGGCGGAGGAAGAAAATGGAGGACACGATGAATAAAAGGCAGGCCACGGTGGGACTTCTGAGGCTCCTCAAACGGAGGGGGCTTTTGCAGATGATGGTTCGATTCGAATATGATATTGTTACAATTGCAATTCTCTGCGACTCGCTGCTCCTGTTACAGCAATTATCACAGAAACCATCACCACAATCACCCCCACGATAAATACAGCAATCATCACCACAATCATTACCTTTGAAAACGTGCCTTTCCTCAGAGCCTCCATGCTGACGTCAGCGTTGTCCCGCCACACGTGGTCGTTGAAAAAGGCGCGCATGTCAGCGTGCAGTGCGCTGACGTCAGCGAGCGATGCCGATTGGTGCAGGTACGGCAGCACGAGGTGAGTCAGCGTGTCCAGCTGTATGTGCTTGGCGCTCAAACGCTGGAAGCTGGTGGGAATGAAGGGGAAGAAGTGAGTGGGATGAGTGAGGCAGCACGAGGTGAGTGAGTTTGTCCAGCTGTATGTGCTTGGCGTTCAGCCGCTGGAAGCTGAAAGGAGTTGGGGAAGCAGCGGGTTTAGGGTTCAGAGCAGATGAGATGAGTGAGGCTAGCATGCCAAAAAAGAGAAAGACATACTGGATGAGATGAGTTCACATGGTGAAAAGGGGGGTTGTTCAGACACTGGAAAGTGGAGATGGAAGGGGAAAACGAGCTTGGTGGTGTGGTGGACATACAGCCACCGGAGCCAAAAGGATGTGGTTACCAGACGTGGTTACTATATGTGGTTACCTGGCGAGGGCGAGCGAGGGGCACCCCAGCAGGCCATAGAGGCTCACGAGCATAGTGTTGAACAGTGGGCTGAAGCTGTAGAGTGGGGAGGGTGAACGGGGGAGAGAAGTGAAAGGGGAAGAGGAAGAAGGGAGTGAGGGAGAGCGGATGTCGCACAGGTTCACAAGCATGGTCATGAATAGAGGGCTCACGCTGCAGGTGCGAGGGGGGCGAAGCGAGGAGAGTCAAGATACTGCACGGCACTTTCCTTAAGACATAGAAAACACGGATATGGGCGGAATCAAAGCTACCTATTTCACTGAGCCCAACCCAAGGAACGCCAAATAGCAAAAAACATTGCGGGCGCAGACTCATAAGAGAGCAACATACGGGCGCAGGGAGACGCCGTAGGTGAGCAGCAAGACGGCCTCTATGAGGTACCCCACGCCCTCTGGCTGGCGGCGCCGATACACCTGCCAGGGGGGAAGCAAGGAAATTGGAACATTGCACCACTTTGAACCGCACTGTACTGCACTGGACTGCTCAAGTCCACCAAGGAAGAGGCAGCAGCAGAAAGCAGCTTCTCCGCGTGCACTTTCAATCAAGAGCCTGAATCAAAGCATGTCATGGTAAGGCATCATGTGCACGCACTGCATCACACTGCACCACACTGCACCGCACTGCACCATATTGCAGCACCCACCTCCACGAGGCAGGAGGCAGCAACGGGCAGCAGTTCGTCCGCATGTCTCTTCTCTCGAGACCAGGCCAGAGCATGCCACCAGAGATCAGATGCATGCACTGCACCAGATTCTACAATACTGAACCGCTTAGCATCACACTGCACCATACCGCACCACATGCCACCACACTAAACCACCCACCTCCACAAGGCAGGAGGCAGCGATGGGCAGCAGCTCGTCCGCATGCCCCTTCTCACGAGGGTCCAGGGCGGCAGAGAGCGGGGAAGCTTCCAGGAAGAGGCGGACGCAGTGCTGTGCGCGAGCAATGAGGGCTGGTGGGGATGAAAGTGGGAGTAGGATTCGGGGAGGGGATTGAGGGGATGGGTTGGGGAGGAAATTGAGGTGATGGGGATGGAGAAGGAGAGTGAGGAATTGGAAATGGGGATAGGGACGGGGACTGAGGAATGGGGAAGGGGATTGGGAGGGGGATAGATATGGGGATGGGGATGGGGATGGGGATGGGGATGGGGATGGGGATGGGGATGGGGATGGGGATGGGGATGGGGATGGGGTTTGGAGGGGATGGAGAAGAAAAGTCCGAAAGGAAGAGCGCCAGGTAAACAGGAGTTCATATGACAACCTGGCGCACATGCCATGCCCCACATGACCACATGCACTCACCATGGTCATTCAGGGAGCGCCAGTTGCCCATGGCGCCATCCACCTGCTGCACACTTCTCAGCAGCATAGCCAGCCATGCACCACCATCATCACCAATCATTCAACAGCATGATGTGACCAAACCCTCAATCACTCACCATGGTCATCCAGGGAGCGCCAGTTACCCATGGCCCCATCCACCTGCTCCACACTTATTATCCTCCGCAGCCTCCTCCTCATCTCCCTCGTACCCTCCCCCTCCCTCCTCTCACTCTCACTCTCCTCCTTTTCCTCCTCGTTCTCCACCTCCTCTCTCCTCCCCTCCTTCCCTCCCTCCCCTCTCCGCCCCTCCCTGCTCTCTCCAGCCCCGATTCCTCCCTCTCCCCCACTAAGTGGTTCCAAGCCTGTCAGCTTGCTCCGGAGCTCGGCCCCGAGCCTAGCCCGGACGTCCTTCGGCAGGGCCAGGGCGTAGGCTTGGACGTCCGAGGCAAAGCTGATCATGTCGCCGTGCCTGAGATAGAGGGTCGGGGAAAGAGAGGAAGGGTAAGTGGGAGGGAGGGGGGAACCGAGGATAAGGCAGTGAAAATAAGGCGAAAGTGAGAATGGGAGGATGAGAGGGTTCCTGTGAGAATGAGAGTGAGAAACAGAGTGAAGCAGATAACACCTCCCCTGGTTCGCAGCAATCATAAGGTAACGCCTCCCCTGAGCTGCACCACTTTGTTTGCACCACACATACTCACCTATCAAAACCACTCACGCACCGCACTGCACACCACTCACCTGTGGATATACCCCAGCAGGGCACTCTCCAGGTCAGCAGCAGTCGGCAGCACCTCCCCCAGATAGTTACGAATCAGGCCACCCACCTATCAAAGTATCTCAGCAGGGCGCTCTCCACATTAGCAGCTTCAGATATCACCTCCACTGAATGGTTCCAACACAGGCCACCCACCTGTCGAAGTAGCCCAGCAGGGCGCTCTCGAGGTCTGCAGCAGCAGATAGCACCTCCCCCGGGCTACACCCGAACCACTGCAGCAGGCGCATGCGCCTCAGAAGCACCTCCAGGCGCATCAGAAACGGCCCCCTCGCCACGCGCGGAGAAGCACCCTTGCTGCTGCTCGCTGCTGCTTCCAAAGCCGATGCGTTGTTGCTGCTGGCGTTGCTGGCATGACTTGGATCCTCTTCCCCTGCCTGTGCTCCCTCGGCCCCCTCCTGCTCGCTGCCCTCCTCCACTTTTTTCATTTCCGGCTGCCCGCTTCCCGAGAGGTGCTGGTGTGACGAGTGCTGCTGTGCCAGGAGGCTGTCTCTGAGGCCCTGGAAGAACCGGTCGGCTTCTGAGAGAATCCGGAAGAGCTGGGGGGGAGCGGAAGGTGTTGCATACATAGATGGAGAAACAGGGAGATTGCTTGGGAGGTAAGGATAGGGCGGGAGGGAAGTGGAAAAGCTATCTCGGAGGCCCTGGAAGAACCGGTCAGCTTCTGAGAGAATCCGGAAGAGCTGGGGGGAGCGTGGGCGTGTGGAGGGGGGATAAACAAGGATGAAGAGGTACAAGCAGTGAGAGTGTCAGGAGGAGGGGGAGGGCGAGTGGAGGTTGAGAGGCCGTTTGCCCCTGAGCGCTGTGCCAGGAGGCCGCCTGCCCCTGAGCACGTCCGGCAGACTGCTCCAGCCGGGCAGCCTGCTCCAGTCGGGCAGCCTGCTACAGCCGGGCAGACTGCTCCAGTCGGGCAGACTACTCCAGTGAGGCAGACTGCTATAGCCGCGCAGACTGCTCCAGTCGGGCAGACTGCTCCAGTCGGGCAGACTGCTCCAGTCGGGCAGACTGCTCCAGTCGGGCAGACTGCTATAGCCGCGCAGACTGCTCCAGTCGGGCAGACTGCTCCAGTTGGGCGTAGAATTTATGTTCCCAACCTTCCATAAACTCGGCCCGACTGGAGCACTCTGCCCGATTGTAACACTATGCCCGACTGGGGCAGTCTACCCGACTGGAGCAGTCTACCCGACTAGAGCAGTCTGCCTGACTGGAGCAGTTTGCCCGACTGGAGCAGTCTGCCCGACTGTAGCACTCTGCCCGACTGGAGCACTCTGGCCGACTGACCGATTAGAGCTGGAGGGGGGGGGGAGATAAACAGGTACACAGTGTGAGTGTTAGGATGGGCGGTTACAACAAGAGGGAGGTTGAAAGGCCGTCTGCGAAGGGAGTAGCGGAAGGGGGGAGAGTAAACAGGTACAGACAGTGAGAGTGTTAGGGAGGTCAGGATAGGCGAGAGGGACCTTGAGAGTCTGTCCCTGAGGCTCTGGAAGAACCGGTCAGGGAAAAGGGGGCGAGGATAAGGTGGGGCGAGGAGAAGGTGAGGAGAAGGTATCCCATAACCCATACCCCAGCCCCATGCCCCATGCCCATGCCTCACACCCCATGCCCCACACAATGCCAATCGTTCCCTCACCTCCTCTTGAATCCTCTTGTTCCCCGGTGACCTGCACGCCACATCCAGAGCTGTTGCTGCAGCCCCCACCGCACACACACTCTCCCACTCGCCCCCATCCACCCCTCCTTCACTCCCCCCACCACCATCTCCCCCTCCTCCGCCCTTTACCCCTTCCCCCCAAGCCCCTCCCCTCTGCAGCATCCGCAGCAGCAGCCCCTGCAGCAGCCGGCTCTCCCTAGTGGCCCACTCCCTCCCACCCTCTGCCGAACCTCCTCCCGAACCTCCTCCTGAGGTAGCAGCTGCAGGTTTGTTACCAGCTGTAGCAGGAGCTGTAGCAGCAGTAGAAGTAGCTGTAGCGGCGTCAGCAGTGACTGCTGCTACAGCCTCGTTGAGAGGAGTGGAGAGCGATGACTGTAGGTGGGCTAGCAAGAGTGAGTCCAGATAGGACAAGGATGCCACCCAGTCATCATCACTGCATGGGCGACAAGGGACAAAGAGGAGTGGACAAGGGTGGGATACAATATGGAGGAATATAAAGAAAGGAATTTCCAGAGTCAAAAGAAGAGATGATGATTTGATAAAGGAGAGTTGGCAAGGTGAGGACCTCACCCGCTCACCTCACTCCCTCACTCGCTCACCGCACTCCCTCACTTGCTCAGCCAACTCACTCACCTCATACCCTCACTCCCTCACCCGCTCACCTCACGCCCAGCAGCTCCTTGAAGGTGGCAGCAGCATCAGTGAAGCGCGCCAAGTCCTGCTGCACCTCGCCCTGTCAAGGGTGGGTGGGTGGGTGGGTGGGTGGTTCACATGCCACCTCATGTGTGGGAGTGGTGTGTGTGAGTCAGACGAGAGTGAGTGAGTGAGCGTGGGGGTGATGTGAAATGTGAACATGTGCGGGTTGGGTTGGGTGTGTGTGTGGTGTGGATGTGTGTGGGTGTTAAGGTGTGTAGAATACGCAACAGCAGAGCAAAAACACCGAAGGCCCAAATGCTCAACGTGAGGCTATGCACGGTCAGCCATGCATGTCCCACACACACACCAACCAGGTAAAGCAACCGCTCACCCACACACGCACTCACATATACACCAGCATATCAGCACCCACCCGGATCTGGAGCAGATCGGATTTGATAGTGAAGAGGGCGGCCATGGGGCCTTGCAGCGCTCTCACCACCTCCTCCCCCTTGCCCTGCCGCCGCAGCACATCCACGTACAGGCGAAGTGCTGGGAGGGGGAGAGGAGGGAGGGAGGAGGTGAAAAGTTGAAAACCGCGCACTTTGATGTGCCTCAGAACCTTGAGGCGCTTCACGGGCCGCTTTCTCAGGCCTTGCAGCATTCTCGCCACACCACCTACTCCCCTTTGCCCCATCGGTTCATTACATCCAGTCCATATCCAGCCAAAGTGGCAGGAAGGGGGGAAAGGGAGAAGAGACACATTATCAGGCGCATCACGACACGAGTTGCCTACCAGAGGTTTAGCTCACCCTACATTCGCCTCGTGCTTTCCTCTACCAATCAACCAGTGCTGCTGCCAGCTGTAGCAGCTACAGAACAGCAGGTAGAACAGCAGGGCCCACACCACAGCCGTGCATACAGTGTACTTAGCGTTGCCTCGGGCCAGAACCTCCAAGGACCGGAGTCTGCCCTCTCACCTTCAGCCGATTTCAGCCCTCCCTCGCTCTGTGCCTTCCGTTGAATCATTGCCTCCGCCAGCTGGAGCAGCTGCCGCCGCTGCTTCGCCACGTCAGCTGCTGACGTGGCATTTGGTGCTGAGGTGGCGGCAGGTGGAGCTGGCAGGTGGAAGCAGGAGACGGATGAGGGAAGGTGGCAGACTGTGTGACTCTCCTTCTCAAAAGCCTGGAGGGGCACGAGAGAGCGGCGAGTGGAAGGAAACGGGATGAGAAAGAGAGGCGGTTGGGAGGAGAAAAAGTGACGAAGGGAGAGAGATGGTGGAGGAGGGAAGAGAGGGATGGGCTGAGAGAGTGCAGTGCGAGAGAGAGGTGAGGGGGGAGATTGGGAACGAGAGGTAGGGGCTGAAAGGAAAGAGGACATGGGAGGAGGAAGGATGGTGGGGCGGGGAGAGGGAGAGAAGAAACAAGAGAGCGAGGAAAAAAGGGAAAGGCAAATCAGCTGCACATACAGTCACGCACCTGCAGGTCCATGCTACAGACGGCCCAGAGCAGGAATCTGTCGTCTTTGGGTCTCTTCTTGTGCATGCGCATGGCCGCCTGCTGCATCTTCACGTAGCCTCGGCTCTTCAGAGCCGCCCCCACCAGCAGCTCCTGCACCTTCATGTTCTCAGGTTGCTGCGCTGCTGCTGCTTCGAATGCCTCCACTGCCTCGTGGGCTGTGATGGGGAGGAGGAAGAGGAAGGGAAAGGGGGTATTGAAGGGGGAGGGAGGACAGGGGGGGTCTCTTCAGTAGTGTCGCCCCCACCAGCAGCTCCTGCAGCTTCATGCTGTCTGCCTGCTGCGCTGCAGCTGCCTCAAACGCGTCTACCGCCTCGTGGGCTGCAAATGAAGGGTCGGGGGCAAGAGGGGAGGATACAATACAATACAAGGGCAGGGGGTTCTCTTCAGCGCCGCCCCCCACCAGCACCTCCTGCGCCTTCATGTTGTCCGCCTGCTGCGCTGCTGCTGCTTTGAATGCCTCCACTGCCTCGTGGGCTGCCATTTGGGGTGCGGGGGAAGAGGACGGGTGGGGGGGGGAACGGATGGGAAGGGGGTTCTCTTCAGTGTCGCCCCCCACCAGCAGCTCCTGCACCTTCATGCTGTCCGCCTGCTGCGCTGCAGCGGCTTCAAACGCGACCACTGCCTCGCGGGCTGAGATGGAAGGGCAGGGCGGGGTGGGGTGTTGGTGTTGTGAGGGTCTGGGACATAAAGGGGAGAGAGAGGAGCGTGCACCTACGAAACAGGTTTCTCCCGTTACCCGCCCACCTTTGCCCAACTAAACGACAGAGCATGCCGCCCGCCCACCTTTGCCCATCCTAGCCATGAGGTCCATGAGGTCCATGAGCGTGCGCTCTGACAGCTGCCCCGCGCGCCCCTCCTCCCGCACCTCCCCGCACACCTCCAGCGCCTCCCCCTCCCGCCCCATGCGGTACAGCACCAGCGCCTTCACCAGCTGATGAGGGGGGTTGGGGGAGAGAAGAAAAGAAGGGGTTTCGGGTTTCGTTTTTGCTGGCGCGTTAATCAAGCTCGCACCTCCAGCGCCTCCCCCTCCCGCCCCATGCGGTACAGCACCAGCGCCTTCACCAGCTGCACGGGGGGGAGGGGGGGAGGAGAGAAGAAGAGAAGTCGTTGGGGTTTCGCATTGCTGACGCGTTAATCAAGCTCGCACCTCCAGCGCCTCCCCCTCCCGCCCCATGCGGTACAGCACCAGCGCCTTCACCAGCTGCGCAGGGGAGGAGGGGAGAGCGGGGTTGGGGTGGGCGGGGGCCCATGTGGAGGGGTGGGTGTTGGGAATGGGGGAGGGGGGAGGAGGGGAGGGAAGGGGGGAAGAAGGGGGTGAAGTTGGGTTCGGGAAGGATAGAGGGGAACGGGAGGGAGGAGGGGAGCGAGGGGGTGTCAAAAGAGAGAGAGGGGGTTTCGGGTTTAGCATATGCTCGCTGGTTGACCGACCTTCGCCTTGCACTTCCGCAGCCTCTTTTCGCCGAAGGAAAGCTTGGAATTCTCACGGAACCCTAACCACTCATGGGGTCAACGACTGATTTGCTCAAGATCCGAAGCCATGACTACTCGTTCTTACAAGCCCTGCACTCCTCCAATCAAAGCCGATTAAACGGCCAATGCAGCTATCTGTAAAGGGAAAACAGTCACGCGAATGATGATGCGCTCTGCTGATAGGATCGGCGAAGCGCCATAATCGCCATGAACAGCGTGCGTCAAGGAGCCACTCATTTTGTGTGCTTCATTGCTCTTCAGATCAAGCCTAGTAGCACACGCGCAGTGGCACCTTGCAGGCTGTCTCGAATCGTTTCTAACTACCACGTTTAGAACTCAAGTGGCGACGAAAGCTGCTGGCATGCGCTTTAAGTCGCATCATACTCTCGTTACTTTAGTAAAAGGCAACTGAATCTGGTAGCTACTAACAGCGCACCTTAATCGGAGCCTGGTCACTTCCCGCTTTCTGAACAAGAGTATTAACGAGCTTCAATGCGCCTTTCAGGTTGCGCGAGTCGACCATGTCGTACACTGGTCGTAATCGCCGGTCTAAAACCTGCTCCGCGGCGCGCTGCTGCCGTTCGTGCTGCTGCAGGGGGAGCGGCATGTTGGCGAAATGGATGTCAAGAAGCAACAGCGACGACGGCGCGTAGAATGTGATGCTGAAAATCCGACTAGTTCATGAATCCTGACGGAAATACAAGTTTGTTCATGCTTTCCGAGGGTAGGGGGGAAGTGGTGCTGCGGGGCCCGCAGGGGCAGGGGAACCGCTGACGCGTTCTTGGATGAATCGATCGCGCCAGGGTGGAAATTCGGTATGCAATGCAATAAGGTTCAATATTTCAATTTCTATGTTGGTTCTATTGTGCTCTTGCAGGTGAGTAGTGCCAGCTTCGACTGCTTATTAAAAAACTTATTTATTGTTTTCATGGTTTGATATACTGTATTATACTTACGATGTTTTTTAGAAGTCCATTGCTAAATTCGTACTCTTGATGGAATCTGGAGTTGTCTGCAGAAACTGGATGGGTGTTACAGTAGTCTCGATGGGCCTTATAATGGATGCTCAACGGCAACCCCCCGAGTCGCAGACCAGTCTGTCCTCACCTTGATTTCATCGTGCGGGACATTTCCCCCGCCCCTGATTATTCGGCCCCCTCTGTCATAAGCGCTTTGACAGTCAGCTTTCGCGACAGCCGCGCTGCTTGTTGACGAAGAAACCACCGCATCTGGCGAGCCTCGTTGACATCCTGCGACGGGGATATCTCCGCAGACATGTGCGCTTCGAGTCGAATTTCCCATTTCTCCCTCAGCCCAACGGGCCTGCCTGTCTGGCTGTTGGGCTTGGGCATTGTTGAAGTTGGTCCCAAAAGATCGCCGCAAAGAACAGCCTTCATTCCCACACCAGCCCGAACCGGATTGAAACCCTGTGTTTGCCACCATCTCCAGCCAATCAGCAGTAGACAGAGCAGCGAGTCATTCCCGTCACCGCCGCCTCTGACGTTCTCGATTTTCGCGCGGCTCCGAGAGGAGATAACGGAAGTCGTCAATCCCATCAAGCCATGACTCGTCGCTGGTCATAGCTTCAATTCATACATGCTTACACCAGCAGGCATTGACTAGGATACGTATTCGCGTTTGAAGGCCATTTCTGGGTGCAGGGGAAGGAGAAGGGCGAAGACAAGATAGATGGCAGGGCGCTGGTAGCCTTCAACAGACGGACAAGTTGCGCCGATTAACTGGGTGGGGGGAACAAATATCCAGAGTAGCTCCCCCGTGCCACCGCGGGGATCTCACAGATGCAGTATTGAACAGCCGCGCAGTGTACTAGAGCAGATTCCTTCCTGTACTAGAAGGCTTGATACTCTTTCACGCAAGCTCTTTCCTCGCTCTTACTCCTTCACTGCCATGGCTTAGTGGAAGAGCCGTTGGTGCTCGAGAAGGCGTTTTCCCTCCTCTCTTACAATCATCAATCTCAGAAATCAAAATCGGAACCATCAATCATCAATTATTCTCTACATTTCTATCTAGGCTCGGCAGGATTGCGGCTTCTTGTTCACCATGGTAGAAATTGGACCGTTAAAATCAGGAATCGGGATGACGAGAGTAATACATTCGTACTTGCTCGCGTTAGTCGTAGCTGGGTTAGCGACGCGCGTCGTCGCGACGGACTGGAGTAGCATAGCGGCGAAGCTGGACCCTGGCTCGCAAAAACTCAACACATGGCGGACCAACAGCGACCCTTGCGGAAGCCCTCCCTTTCAAGTGCGTGAAAGCATCGTGGAAGCAAGATACTGCTTGTCATTGCATGTTGCTTGTTGCTTCGTGTAACTTACTGCCGTCGCGATTGAATGTTCTAATTGCATCGGCTGCTGTCACCCGCAATCCAACGTCGCTGCTAACACCCGCCTGCACCGCCTTCCACCGCATCATCTACTGCTACTTTTGCAACAATGTCGTCTGCTCTTGAATACAATCACTTTATCCCGCGCAGGGAATCACGTGCGACGGCCACCACCAGCCGGTCGCGCTGCAGCTGAACGGGCTGGGCCTCGCAGGCGAGATCCCCGTGGAGATCAATCAGATCGCGACGCTCACGTTCCTCGACCTGGGACGGAACGCGCTCAGCGGAGTCATCCCCGACAGCATCAACAACATTCTCAGCCTCCAGGTGCAAGTCTCGGCGTTTTGCGACGTCATGTCGTCGAGCTTTGAGGTGAAAACAAAATTCGTAGTCTCCAGGTGTAAATTTTCCCGCCATTCTAACCCGAGAAGACCTTGAGGTGAATTTTCACCTCAGGGTCGGGGTTGGAAGCATCTAAATGCGAGAGGCCATGAACTACAACTTTTATCTCAAACCGAAACCGCCTAGTCTTTCCAGACCCCTCTATGACCGTAAACTCCATCGACAAAACCCCCTCTCTGACAATTTCCGCCGTGTGTGTTGGTCGGTCAGGTGCTGAACCTGTGCAGCAATCGGCTGGGCGGGCGCATTCCGGAGCTGAATCTGGTGACGAACCTCTTCTCGCTGGACCTCAGCCGCAACCAGCTCAGCGACTCCATCCCCGCCTCCCTCGGCCTCCTCACCAAGGCACGCCCTTCTTCCGCTCCCCCCCCCCCCCCCCCCCCCCCCCCACCCTCTCCTCTCTTTTCCGTGACCTGTCATGATATTTGGGTTGACTAAATCCCGCACCCTTTTTTTCTGTTGGGTCCAACCCCTCACATGGCCACTTGCGCGTATGACTCGACCATGCCAACATGACCTGCAGTTTCTAGATCAGCATGGCGAACACTTGTTCACCTGCTCTGCCACCATTACCCCGCGTAACAATGCACCCGTGTATCAATGCCTTGCGACAATGCATGCGACAATGCCCTGCGACAATGCTCTGCGACAATTCCCTGCGACAATGCCCTGCGACAATGCCCTGCGACAATGCCCTCAATGCCCCCAATGCCTCAAATCCCCTGGTGCACCCGAGCAGCTCAAGGTGCTGGAGCTCAACAACAACGAGCTCGCGGGTTCGATTCCCGACGCCGTCGGCAATCTGAAGCTGCTGCAGGACGTGTCGCTGGCGGAGAACCGCCTCACGGGGCGCGTGCCCAAGGGGCTCGACTACCTGCGCGCCAGCCGCACCGCGCGATACAACTTCTCCGCCAACGGCGCCGGCTTCTGCGGAACCGGATTTGCCGGCCTTACGGTGAGTCTCCTAGGGTGCTGGACCAATAGGGTGCTGAACCGGCTTTCACTGCCGCGAGCATGCTCCTTTTTACCGACTGAAAGGCGCAGCTTCTCTCAAAACGGTCTGGGTTTCTGCGGTACCCAACTCGACAGGCGGCCAACGAGTCAAATGGGAGTGGGATGCTATACGAGTCGGGTGGTTCACAAAAAACTACTGTCCCTTGCATGCGTTGCACTTCAGGAGCGTCAGGAGATGCGATAAAGTCGAGTATCCTCTTGTGCTCACTTGACCTCTTGCCTGCGTTACTGTGCAGGCCTGTCCTGGCGATCCTCCTTACGTCCCGCGCAAGGCCCCGCTGCCGAAGCTGCCACCCAAAACCCCCGTTGTACCCAAGCCCAAGACTCCCGTTACACCCACTCCCAGGACTCCCGTTGTACCCACGCCCAGAATTCCCGTTGTCCCCACGCCCAAGGTCGCTCCCAAGCCCAGGCTTCCAGTCAACCCTAAACTGCCGTCCAACAAACCCACACTGCCAGTATCACCCTCCCCCACCACCACCATACCAACAACTCCCACAATCCCTCCGCCCTCCGCCACTCCGCTTCCGCGGAATGCCTCCTCCCCCTCCCCGCCGTCCGCGTCGCCCGCGGACGAGTTCATCCCGCTCAAGCCGGCGACGCCGCCTCCCGCATCGCAACCCGCCACCAGCAGCACCGCGGCTGCTGCGGACGGCACCAGTGGCAGCAGCAGCAGCAGCGGCAGCAGCGGCAGCAGCGGCAGCAGCAGCGGGGGGTTGACGACGCCTGTGTACATCGCGATAGGCGCAGCTGGCGGGCTGGCGTGCGTGTTGTCGGCGGTGCTGCTCGTGTGGTGCTGCTGCTGCAAACCCCCCCGCAAGGGCAAGACGGGCAAAGGCGTGGTGAGTTGTGGAATTATTTATGTGGGCGCATGTGGGTGGGCATTTGTGCGCGGATGTGGGCGTTTCAGCTTCCCTGCACTTTCCCACTCACAAAGCCCGCTTACCCCGCCTCTTCTCGTCCCCTCGCCCCCCACTTCCCCCCGCTTTCCCCCGCCCCCTACCCCCCGCTCTCTGACTGCTGCCCTCATTAGGCGGATGACGGACTCAAGGAGCCCGCCCTGTCCGTCGCCGCGGGCGGCGCCTGGGCGGCAAAGAAGCAGAAGCAGACAAACCGTGCCGGCCGCATGCCGCCCTCCTCCGTCGCCGCGTCCGTCGGCTCCCCGGGAGCGCGCTCCCTGGCCGTCGATGTCGAGATGGGCGGCGAGATGAACGGCTGTATGCCGTCCTCGCGCGATCGCGCCGTGTTTCCCGCTGCCGGCTCGCCCACAGGCGGAGCGACGGGCTCAGCGGCTGTAGCAGGAGCCGCGGCAGCAACAGCGGGAGCGGCTGCTGTAGCCGCTACAGCCAGGCAAGCGTCGCGCGGACGGTCGGAGAGGAAAGAACGGCACGGCGGGTCGCCGCCGAGGCGGTCGCCCGGTCCTGCGCAGCAGGCTCGGAAACCGGCGGCTTGGGAGCAGGTTCCGGTGCAGGCTCGGGGGCAGGGGCAGAACGGGTCGTTTGGTCGACAGGAGGATGCGTCACGGGATGGGAGCGAGAGGGGCAGTGTTGCTGCTGCCGGTGCTGGTGCCGCTGGTGCAACTGGTGCTGCTTCTGGTGCTGCTTCTGGTGCTGCTTCTGGTGCTGCTTCTGGTGCTGCTTCTGGTGCTGCTTCTGGTGCTGCTTCTGTGGCCTACTACGACAGTGCCTACTTGCCCCAGTCGAGTGACAAGGCGACGGCGTATGGCAGTGCGAGCGTGGCGAGTGTGGTACGCAGCAGCGCCAACACCCCCAGCCCTGTGAAGGCCCTCGGCGGGTGGGGCGCGCCCAGGCCGCAGCGTGCTGCTGTGGCTGACGCTGTTGCCGCGAGGGAGGACGAGAGGGAGAGGGAGGGCGGGAGAGAGAGGGGAAGGGAGAGTGAGAGTGAGAGCGAGAGTGAGGGGCCGGGGTCACAGTCGGTGGTGTCGTCTGTGGTGAGTCGGGACAGAGGGTGGGATGATGCCAGCAAGGGCGGCTCTCTCATGGGTGCTAGTGCAGTGCACGCTCACAACAGCAGCGGCGCGACTCGTATGGCTGCGCCTGCTGCGCCTTCTGCTGCCACGTCGGCTGCCACATCAGCTGCCACGTCGGTTGCAATGCCTGGTGGGATGTCTGCTGCGTTTGCAGCAGCGGCTGCAGCAGCGAGCAGGGGGCGAGGTGGGGGGCAGTCAGCAGCAGCGGTGTCTGCAACCACTGCTGCGTCTGCTGCGTCTGCTGCGTCTGGTGCGAGCAGTGAGAGCGATTCAGACACGGAGGAGATTGAGATGGAGGAGAGCGGGGGGTACAGGGGAGTGGCTGCAGCAGCGCCCGCTGTTACCAGCGCTGCAGCTGTGGGTAAGGGGGTGCTACGGGACAGCCCTCGCAAGCCAGGGGCAGGAGCAGCAAGGGCAGGTGGAACTGGGGCAGGCGGAACTGGAGCAGGTGCTTCTGGGGTAGGTGCATCTGGGGCAGGTGGTGGTGCTGGGGCAGGCTCGTCTGGCGTGCGGGTGGGGGTGTATGGGCCTGCAGGGAGGTCGCTGCGAGTGACAGACTTGCACGCTGCAGAGGGGGAGCGAGGGGAGGAGGAGGAGGAGGAGGAGGAGAGCAGCGTTACGAGTGACAGCAGTGACAGCGATTACCCCATTGGTAAACAGCCTGTGGCGAGCGCTAGAATGGCAGCAGCAGCAGCGGGAGCAGCAGCAGCAGCAGCAGCAGGAGCAGCAGCGGTATCGCCTTCTATTCCCAGGGGGTGGGCCGGTGCGTCTGCTGCCACTGTCGCTGCAGCAGCTGCTGCTATCTCACCCTCTCGTGCTGCTCCTGCTGGTGCTGCTGGGGCGTTCCCTGGCAGAAGCAGTAGCAGGGGCGAGGGAATGGAAGGTGAGAGGAGAGATGGAGACACGTCAGACACGTCTGACACGTCAGCAGATGGTGACGAGGCAGCAGGGCACGGATTGGAGCGGTACTTTACGCTTGCTGAGCTGGCGCTGGCGACGAATGATTTTGGGCGGCAGAGTGAGCGCAGTGTGCTGGGCAGCGGGCGGCACGGCACTGTTTACCGCGCGCGGTTACCAGAAGGGACGACGGTGGCCGTGAAACGACTGAGCGACAGAAAGTAAGTTGCGCGCCACTGGACTGGGAAGACATTGAATCCAAGCCCTCATCTTTCTCACCCCTGGCTGGGGTCCAATTGATCTCACGTGTCACATTTCTGCCCACTCTTACCCCCTCTCGCCTCTTACCATATCCCCATTCTTCCAATCTTCCCTTGCTACCATCTCCACCCTCCGATGCTCATGCCAGTCTGGAGCAGTCACCGCGCGATTTCAAGTTTGAGGTGGACTCGCTAGCCCAGGCCAAGCACCCCAACCTAGCAGCATTGCTGGGGTGTTGTGTGGAGGGGGACGAGCGCATGCTGGTGTACGAGTACCTACCCAACCTTGCCTCCCTCCCTCCCTGTCCCCCCCCCATGCCTTCCCCTCCCTTCCCCCCAGTCTGGAGCAATCCCCGCGCGAGTTCAAGTTTGAAGTCGATTCCCTATCTCAAGCCAAGCACCCCAACCTGGCGGCCGTGTTAGGGTGCTGTGTGGAGGGCGACGAGCGCATGCTGGTGTACGAGTATTTGCCCAACGGGTCGCTGGACGCCTGGCTCTACCAGACCGCTGCTGGCGGGTCCACGGATACACTGGACTGGCCCATGCGCATGCACGTCGCCATCGGCTGTGCCAAGGGGTACGTGTCTCTCCCTTCCCTCTTGTTTTCCCCCATACGTCCTGCATGCGCATGCACGTGTTCATCGGGTGTGCCAAAGTTTAGGTCTCTCCTTTCCTCTTCCTCCTCCTCTCCTCCTTCTCTCTGCTCGCTTCTCTCCTCTCCCTCTGCAGCTTGGCCCATCTGCACGGCGGCGTGACAGTGAAGGTGGTGCACAGAGACATGAGAGGCATCAAACGCACTGCTGGACTCACTCTGATACACCTCCTCCCCTCCTCTCCTTAGTTCCCTTTCGTCGCTCTTCACCCCATGCAGACTCGCCCACCTGCACGGAGGCATGGCGGTGAAGGTGGTGCATCGCGATGTGAAGGCATCCAACGTGCTGCTGGACGCACTTTGATACACCTCTTCCCCGCTCCCCCGATTGCCTTCCTTCGTCTCACCCCATGCAGCATGGCCCACCTACACGGCGGCATGGCAGTGAAGGTAGTGCACAGGGACGTGAAGGGTAGCAACGTGCTGCTTGACTCATACGCACCACATGTTCCCATCTTCCTCCCCATCCCACCCACCCTCAGTCTCGCCCACCTACACGGCGGCATGGCAGTGAAGGTGGTGCATCGCGATGTGAAGGCGTCAAACGTGCTGCTGGACGCGCAGTGGAACGCCAAGCTGGGCGACTTTGCACTGGCCAAGGCCATGGGGCGGGACCAGGGGCACGTGGGCACGCGGGTCATGGGCACCTTCGGGTGAGTTGCGCCGTTTGGTGAATCATGGCGGCGGCAAAAGCCTGTGTGTGAGTGCCAAGCTGGGCGACTTTGCACTCGCCAAGGCCATGGGGCGCGGGCACGCGAGTCATGGGCACTTTTGGGTGAGTTGCGCTGGCTTGATGAAACATAGACGGCCGGCATGGCATGGCATGGTATGGCATGGCATGGCATGGCATGGCATGGCATGGCATGGCATGGCATGGCATGGCATGGCATGGCATGGCATGGCATGGCATGGTATGGCATGGCATGGCATGGCATGGCATGGCATGGCATGTGAGAGAGTTCCCAGGCCTTGGGGTGCAACCAGGAGCACGTGGCCACTAGGCTGCGCAGTGCTCACAGAGTCTACTCGTACGCAGCTCAACTCCACCCACCCCCTTCCGTTTCCCCGTTTTGTTCCACCTTCCTTCACCCCCCTTTCTCCCTCCTTCCTTCCCAACTTCCCACCCCAGCTACGTGGCGCCAGAGTACATGAACACGGGCCTGCTCACGGAGCGCAGTGACGTGTACAGCTTCGGCGTGCTGCTGCTGGAGCTCATCTCCGGCCGCCCACCCATCGACAATGAGGCGCCCTCCGACCAGGTGAGAGCAAGCCTAGTAGGAGGGCTTGGGACCACAATGCTGCGGCCTCGGAACAGGTGGGCTTGGGAATGCAAGGCAAGCGCATGTGGCGTGGGTGGGTGTGCAGCTTTGGAGAGCTGTTGCTGGAACTCATCTCTGACCGTGTGCAGGAAGGCAACGACAGGACGCGGGTCATGAGGAATGCAGCACCCTCGGACCAGGTAGGCTTAAGGCACCATGCCTGCACACGTGATGTGCCATTCGAACTGACGTGAGATACCAATGTGCAGGTACCAATGTGTGATTGGCAGCTGATGGGTCATGAAGCAGCACCATCAAATCGGGTAGGCCTGGGAATTCAACGCTTGCACATGTGGTGTGAGTGCTTTGAGCTGAGAACAGCATCAGTGCGAGCAGGAGCGCAAGTGGGGCACGCGTCCTAAGGTTAAAGTAGCAGTTTCAGATCAGGTGAGCTTTTGAGTGCCTTGCATGCACACATGCGACCTTTGAGGTCCTAGACCCGCGGCTGCAGGGCACAGAGCAGGCAGACGACGTGGAGTACCCCCCCCCTCCTCCCCCCACCCACTCACTCACCCTGAGCAACTCACTGCCTCACTCGCTTTCTTCGCCCTTGCAGGTTGATCTGGTGCGCTGGGTGCGCGCCAAGGCAGCAGAGGAGCGCCTGCTGGAGGTCTTAGATCCTCGCCTGCAGGGCACGGTGCAGGCAGACGACATGGAGTATGCCCCTTGTCCTCCTCCCCTCACTTCCTCATCCCCTTCCCCCCCACATCTCCTCTCTAATGTGCAGGTTGACTTGGTCCGCTGGGTGCGAGCCAAGGCAGCAGAGGAGCGCCTCTTAGAGGTGCTGGATCCGCGGCTGCAGGGCACGGTGCAGGCAGACGACGTGGAGTATGCCCCTTGTCCTCCTCCCCTCACTTCCTCATCCCCTTCCCCCCCACATCTCCTCTCTTCCTTGCAGGTCGATTTGGTGCGCTGGGTGCGAGCCAAGGCAGCAGAGGAGCGGCTTCTTGAGGTCCTGGATCCACGGCTGCAGGGCACGGTGCAGGCAGACGACGTGGAGTATGCGCTGGGCGTGGCGCTGCGATGCGTGGAGCCCAACGCACTGAAGAGGCCCAAGATGCCGCAGATCGTGCACATGCTGGAGAGCGAGGACCCCAAGCAGGTATGAATGGGTGTAGAGTGGTACTGAGTGGGTGTGGTGTGGTTGTGGCCGAGATGGGCAGTGCAGTGCACGTTGGGAGTGGCGCTGCGATGCGTGGAGCCCAATGCACTCAAGCGCCCCAAGATGCCTCAGATCGTGCACATGCTGGAGAGTGAAGACCCCAAGCAGGTGAGTAAGGGTTTGAATGGGTACAGTGTGGTGATGATGGTGTGCTCATGAGTGGCTGTGGTTGAGCTTGCAGTATGGTGAGCTTTGCAAATGCCTAGAGGCTCACAGAGTTGCGGGTGCCGCAAATTTATCCACTCCTCCTATACTGACCCCTCATCCTTCCCACAACATCCTCCATCCAGCCTCACTCTTCATCGTTTTCCCTTCCCCCAACCTTCCTCCAACCTCTCTATCTCTCCCTCCCTCTCCCTCCCCCTCGCCCAATCAGAGGGACGACTGGGTGGCACGCAGGCCCAGCCCATCCAGTGCGCGCTCCCTGGCCTACCACTTATAAGACGCCTAAAACCCTCTCCCCCAACCCTCCCCCTCGCCTCCCCTCCCTCCCTCCCCCCCCCATCAGAGGGACGACTGGGTGGCGCGCAGGCCCAGCCCATCCAGTGCGCGTCCTCGCCTACCACTTCTGAGGCGCCTCACACCTTATCTTCCTCCACCATCCCTCAATCTCCCTCGCTCACTCCCCCTTCCCCCTCTCCCCCCAATCAGAGGGACGACTGGGTGGCGAGGAGGCCCAGCCCATCCAGTGCGCGCTCGCTCACCTTCCACTTCTGAGGAGCCTGCACCCCCCTCACTCTCCCTCTTCCCTCCTTCTCTCGCCCTCCCTCTCCCTCTCCCCCCATCAGAGGGACGACTGGGTAGCAAGGAGGCCCAGCGCATCCAGTGCGCGCTCGCTCGCCTACCGCGACCCCTCCCCCCGCGCCACCTTCCGCCACTGCGACTCTTCCCCCCGCACCCACCCCCCACGCGACTCCTCCCCACACACCACCATTCGAGAGCCCTCCCCCCGCGCCCCTTATTTCCGAGACCCTAGCCCCCGCGGCTACCCCACCGCTCCCACTGTTCCGGGTAGGACTGGCGGGTATGCTAGTGGTGGGGGAGGGGGAGGGGGTGCTGCTGCTTGGTCGGATTCCAGTAGAGGGACGAGTCCCAGGATAGGGGGGGCTGGGTCGGTGTCACAGAACAGTGCTTACTACGGCATGCCAGGCTCGGCAAGGGCTCCCGAGCCTTACCGAGCCAGCAGCAGCAGCCCGAGGCAGTACGGGATGCCAGGCTCGGCACGGGCTGCCGAGCCGTACCGAACCAACAGCAGCCCGAGGGTCGGCGGCTCGCCAAGCGTGAACAATAGCTACTATCCGTCCCGCAATGCGGCTAGCCCCACGGCTCCAGACATTGGAGCCATGATTGCTTCTGCTGCCATGAGGACATCTAGCCCACGTGCCCTGCATTTCCAGGGTAGTAGTGGAAGTAGCCCCAGGGCCATGTCGCCCAGGGGCTACTCACCCCGGGATTTTGGGCATCCAGGGGGTATGACCGGGGGTTCCCCTGGGGTGGGAATGATGGGCATGTCGCCACGCGTGGCGAGCCCCAGGCCTTCGAGTCCGCGCATGCAGAATGGGGGGGATGCGGGGAGTGTGATTGCCAGCCATGCCATGAGCATGAGCACATTCAGGCGCCAGGGTTCCTGGAGTAGGAGATGAGAAGAGTGGTGTTTTCATTGTGATTTGTGTAACAACATTCAGTTGATTTGTTGTAGCTAGACAAGCGACTGGCATACTTTGGGCAAATATTTGTCTGAACTGGATGTGACTGCCAATTATAATAACACTTACCATAAGTTCATCAGAGTGCGATGTGGACTGTGCACCAAACCAAATCCTGAACCCACGTTAAGTGACACTGACACAACCACTATGCATTAAGCCATTCTTGATTTCTCAGAAAGCTGCGTGCACTTAGAAAGCAGAACCCGTGCCAGTGGAGTGGAGAAAAAAAACATACCGATACATTATTGCAGCAAAAACTTAGTGATCTTTATACCATGAGGCAAAACACTAAAGCAACTCGCGTATACCTAATTTTCCTTACTAAAATGGGGATAAGGCTTCCCCTTGCTGGCATACCTACCACTCAAGACACAAGCAGCAGGCTGGCACAAGGAGCATCGTGCAGCCCAGCTGCCATCACGTCACCATGGATGGATCAAGAGCCAAGCAGCACTGCCCCTCGCCTCGTCCGTCGCTGCACATTCCGCTCTGAAACTCCACGTGTCTCCATTTCTTCCCACCTCCGCAGCAGAACAAAAAATCTCGGGTCTAGGCATGTTTCTTTCGGCGCCCCTGCACCCACGCTTCCAGCAGCATCACCAACGTAACTTTGACTTGTTATTCGCTGCGCCTGCGCCCACAGCAGCACCTCAAATCTGTATCCAGGGGCGTCATTGCTCACTGCCCCTGCGTCATCTCTGCACGGTGTCATCGGAGGGACCCAACTGGCAGCGGTGCTTCATACGGTAATGTCGATCTCGTACCCCCTGCCCTCCCCACTGTCCCACAACCCCGCCTCCACAGTCCCACAGCTTCTAAGTGCGTATTGTTCACTGCCCCTGCGCCCACCGCTGCACCTCACTGTTCTTCCGCCCATCGCTTCAGCATGTTATCAGAGTAGCTGACCTGCCGGCGGTGCTTCATGCTGTCCCCCTCCTACCCCCTGCCACCCCCCACGCCCACGACCTCACAGTCCCTCAACGTCTAAGCAAGTAGTGTTCACTGCCCCTGCGCCCACCGCTGCACCTCACTGCTCTTCCGCCCATCTCTTGAGCGTGTCATCGGAGTAACCAGACTGCCGGCGGTGCTTCATTATGTCTGTCTCGTACCCCCTGCCGCCCCCACAGGCCCACGACCCCGCCAGGAAGACATCTGCATGCGCACACACGAGCTTGTCTAGAATTGCCACTACACCTGCAGGGGAAAAGGGGAATGGTAACGGGGGAGGGAAGAAGAACCAGGAAGAGGGATGTGTGCATGCGCGCACACACGAGCTTGTATAGAATTGCCACCACGCCTGCAGGGGAAAGGAGGAATGGTAATGGGGGATTGAAGGGGAACCAGGAAAGGGAGATGTCTGCATGCGCACAGACGAGCATGTCTAGAATCGCCACCATGCCTGCAAGGAAACAGGAGTGGGGAAGGGAATTCAGGCGGGAAAGATGTGTGCATGCGCACACACGAGCATGTCTAGAATCGCCACCATGCCTGCAAGGAAACAGGAGTGGGAAAGGGAATTCAGGCGGGAAAGATGTGTGCATGCGCACACACGAGCATGTCTAGAATCGCCACCACGCCTGGAGGGGGGCAGGGGAGAGAAGAAGGCAGTGGGAAGGTGTTCTCATACCATACGCCCTGCAGCCCCCATAGGCCCCCAGCAGTGTGGAGGAGGGTGGTCAGAGTAGCCCCTTACTCGCCCTTCACCCACGTAATAATAATTTCACCAGTCATCACAGTGCCATGCACGTTCACGCAGTACAGCAGAGGCCGTTCAAACCTGCTCCTCACGCACTCCTCACCCTCACCTCCACCCACCTGGGTCGAACTCGTTCACTTGCGGCATGATCTCACATATCATCAAAATGCTATGCACGATCACACATTAGAGCAGAGGCCATTCAAATCTGCCCCTCGTGCACCCCTCGCCCTTCACCCACCTGGGTCAAACGCGTTGACTTGCGGCATGATCTCGTCAATCATGACAGTCCCGGGAACATTGGCACGCAGGCGGTGCAGCGCAGCGGACGATGACTGCAGCACGCGCGCGTCGCCCCCGTACCAGTGCACCATCTCGCTCCACGAGTCTGACCGTGCCGGCGCCACCGAGTCGTTGAACGGCACGTCTGCTGCGATGAACACAGATGGGGATGGACCGCTGCTGCCAGTGCTGCTGGGGGCGGTGGTGCTGGGGGAGGTGGTGCTGGGGCCAGTGGTGCTGGGGCCGGTGGTGCTGTTATCAGCAGTGGAGGGGTGGGAGAGTGAGTCGCGGACGGTGGTGATAAGGCGCTCTGCCTCCCCCACACACCAGTCCAGCCGCTGCTGCACCATGCTCGCATTCGCCTTGCCGCCCTGACTCCTCATGTCCTCTTGCTGTTGTGGTGGACATGGGAAAGGAGGGAGTGGGGACGGGCAGTGGAGGAGAGTAAGAGTAGGAGGGAAGTAAGGCTTTTCCAGAGGATTTCGCCTTGCCGCCTTGCCTCACCATGTCCTCTTGCTGAGGGGGGATGGAGCAGGGAGTGAGGGACAATGTCTTATGAGTCGACAAATATAATCCAAATAGAAGTAGGGCTCCCGCTGAGGTGCAATGCTCCAAGAGGGCTTGAACCCTGAACCCTGAACCCTGAACCCTAAGCCTTGTTGCTCCCTCCCACCGCTGTGAACGCAACAAACTCGGACCGGAAGTGTATAGCAATGCCCCTAGACCCGCCTTCCCCTCCCCTCTACCCTCCCCACCCCCCACTCACCACTCGGAACGCGATGAACTCGGACCGGAAGTGTACAGCAATGAGGGGGCGGGGCAGCAGGGATAGCAATCGCTCAGCCGTGGCATGCAGGCTCTGCTGGTACGGCAGCATGGGCAACGCAATGTCGTCCGTGCGAGGCTGGAACTTCACTCGCTCCCAGGTCGTTTTAAACCACACCACCACGTCCCTGTTGCTCCTGGTGTGTGGTGGAGTGGGATATAGAGTGGTACGAGTGGGTATGGGTGCACACATATGCGAGTAGTGGTCCATGCTGGGTTGGAACTTCACTCGCTCCCATGTGGTTTTAAACCACACCACCACGTCCTTGTGACTCCTGGTGTGTGCACGTGGGCGTGGAGGGGGTAAGGAGTAGGATATGGACAGCAGTACAGAGCAGAACAAAGCAGTGCGGCAGAAGTGGCGGGGCAACGTCATCCGTGCATGGCTGGAACTCATGTGGGCGACTTTTGAGTCGACTCAAAAGTCTCCTGGTGTGTGCATGTGGGTGTATGGGCGTGGAGTGGGACATGGACAGCAGTACGGAGCAGTACGGAGCGGTACGGGGGAGAGCATGGCACCACATCCACTGATACAATGCGTAGAGCGTGAGAGCCACGGTGCCCCCCCTTGCAGGAACCTTCATATCCAGAGTGCGTGAGGGCAAGCATCACTCCATCCCATCTCATCCCGTCCCATCCCATCCCATGCCATTTCATCTCACCCCATCCCATCCCATCCCATACCATCCCATCCCATCCCATCCCATCCCATCACATCCCATCCCATCCCATCCCCTGGCACCGCACTGCACCCACACGTACCATGCCTTGAGCGTGAGAGCCATGGTGTCGTCCCGTGCAGGCATCTTCACATCCAGCGTGTTGGCCTGCAGAGGCACGTGCCCCATGGCGAATGGTAATAGCTGCCCGAGAAACGCACATGCCATCTCTGATGGAAGTGAGGGGGGATGAGAGGGAATGAATGCAGGCATGCATATGAGTGCTGGCCTGCAGCGGCACGTGTCCCATGGCGAATGGCAGTAGCTGCCCGAGCAACCCACATGCCATCTCTGACGGGGGATAAGAAAGGCAAAAAGTCCATTCATGCAGACGAACGGAGCAGAGGAGAGGAGAGGCAGAAAGGAGAGGAGAGGAGAGGAGAGGGAGTACATGCATGTATGCACATCAGTGTTGCCCTGCAGAGGCACGCGCCCCATGGCGAGCAGCAGCAGCTGCCCCAGCAACTCAAAAGCTTGCTCTAGGCGGAGGTAGGAGGGGCAGGAGGTAGCACGTGCAAGCACGTGCAGCAACAGCTTGCACTAGGCGGAGGTAGGAGGGTCAGCACGTGCATGCACGAGTAAGTGAGAGGGAGGGCAGGAGTGTGAGTATGATTAGACAGGAGAGAGAGACACACACAGGAGGGGGACAGCGTACCGTAATGAAAGGCCGTTCGTTCGAGGTAGGGCGACTGCACCCACATGAAACCCTCGGAGGGGTTGGGGAGGGCAGGAGTGCGGGTGAGGCGGGGGGAGAGGGGAGGGGGAAGTGCATGCGTGCGAGTGTGAGTGTGTGAGAGGGGATGGACTGACCATAATGGAAGGCCGTTCGTTCGAGGTAGGGCGACTGCACCCACATGAAGCCGACGGAGGGGTTGGGAAGGGCAAGTGTGTGTTTATGAGTAGGCGTGAGGGTGAGTGACACAAGGGGAGAACGGACTGACCATAATGGAAGGCTTTGCGTTCGAGGTAGGGCGACTGCACCCACATGAAGCCGACGGAGGGGTTGGGGAAAGCAGGAATGTGTATGAGAAGGCATGGAGAGTGACACAGGAGGGGAAGGACGGACCATAGTGGAAGGCCGTTCTCTCCAGGTAGGGCGATTGCACCCACGTGAAGCCCACGGAGGGGTTGGGAAGACCAAAAGGGTGTGTATGAGTAGGCATGAGAGTGAGCGACACACACACAGCAGAGGGGCAGCGTACCATAATGGAAGGCTGTGCGTTCGAGGTAGGGCGACTGCACCCACATGAAGCCGACGGAGGGGTTGGGGAGGGCAGCGCGGGCGAGCAGCAGGAAGAGCTGCGGTGACACCCACTCTGCCGTGGCTGCCAGCTTTGTGAGGTCCCAGTAGGCGCAGAGCGGTAGAGAGCGGCCCAGGGAGAGGTGGCTGCGACTGGCCTGTGGTGCGGTGGAATGGGGTGGGATGGGGTGGGATGCAGTATGGGGGGGAAACGGATAGTGATTTATTCCAGCAGACACCCACTCTGCCGTAGCGGCCAGCTTGGTGAGGTCCCAGTAGGCGCAGAGGGGCAGGGAGCGACCCAGCGACAGGTGGCTGCGACTGGCCTGGTGGGAGCATGAGGGGTAGGTGAAGAAGGAGAAGGATTGGCATGTGATGCCGTGCATACTGTGACGAGGCAGAGAGTGTGACGTGGCAGAGCGTGTGACGTGGAAGAGAGTGTGACGTGGCAGAGGGTGTGACGTGGCAGAGAGTGTGACGTGGCAGAGGGTGTGACGTGGCAGAGAGTGTGACGTGGCAGAGGGTGTGACGTGGCAGAGAGTGTGACGTGGCAGAGGGTGTGACGTGGCAGAGAGTGTGACGTGGCAGAGGGCGTGACGTGGCAGAGAGTGTGACGTGGCAGAGAGGGTGACGTGGCAGAGGGTGTGACGTGGCAGAGAGTGTGACGTGGCAGAGGGCGTGACGTGGCAGAGAGTGTGACGTGGCAGAGGGTGTGACGTGGCCGAGACAAGTCGATGGACGGAGGGAGGGAGGGAGATCTGAAAAGGCCAATGGTGGTGACCTGGCGCCCTCCTCTTGCCCTCGCTCTCACAATACTATGCTCCTACTCTCACTCTCACCACTCTACTATGCACCCACTCTCATTCTCACAACTCCATCACTCTCCCACTCCGACCGCTCCCCCCCCCCACCTTGAGCAGCATCAGGATGCGGCTGGACATCTGAGGCAGCATCAGGATGCGGCTGGACATCTGAGCCAGCAGCGCTACTGCAAGCATGTGGCTCCGCGCCTTGCTCGGCTGCTCCTAGTGGCCGTGTCTCACCCTGTTACCCTGCTACGGGGTGACCTGGTTGTCAGTGCTAGCCCTCAATCTCACATTTTGTACTTGTACTTTTATATCCTAGTTTAGTGTAGTTTGCACTTTGTGTTTGGTTGGGTGTGATCTCCAAGGAATCTCCAAGTCACCAATTGGAAATTGTCTTGGGATTACCCCCAATTTCTAGAGATTGCCCCCCAATTCCCTTTCCCATCCATTCCTTGCTCATCCTGGATGTACTTCAAAAGCTTCAAACTCATTACTAGTGCATGGATCCTAAGCTCAAGCTCTGACACTGGTTACCCTATTGCTCTACCGCCATCCTACCAACCTTGGGCAGCACAAGGTTGCGATTGGACATCTGAACTGCCGCGTCGCCTCTATGATGTGGCTCCACGCCTTCTGCTGCTCCTAGTGCCGTGCGTCACCCTGTTACACAGTTACCCAATTACCTGGTTAACCTATCCCCACCCCCCTGTGGACCCACCTTGGGCAGCACGAGGATGCGGTTGGACATCTGAGCGAGGCGCGCGGCCTCGATGATGTGGCAGTGTGTCACCTGGTTACCCGGTTACCCTATCACTCTACCACCCCCCTGCATACCCACCTTGGGCAGCACGAGGATGCGGTTGGACATCTGGGCGAGGCGCGCGGCCTCGATGATGTGCGTGCGCGCGTTGCTCAGCTGCTCCTCCGACATGGCGAACACCAGGTACTTGCGGCGGGGGAAGTCCTGATGGGGGGGAACGGGCGGAAGGGCGGAAGAGGGGAAGGGCATGTGAAGGTGCATCAGAAGAAAGGTCATCCGACATGGCGAACACCAGGTACCGCCGTCGGGGGAAGTCCTATAAGGGGGGAAGGGGGGAGGGTAGAGTGGGGGAATGGGAGGGGACATGGCATGGCGAACACCAGGTACTTGCGCCGGGGGAAGTCCTGATGGGGGGAGGGAGAGGGTGGGGGGAGAGTGGGAGGGATGGGAGGAGGCATGACATGGCGAACACCAGGTACTTGCGGCGCAGCAAGTCCTGATGGGGGAACGCGGAAGAGGGGCGGGGGAATGGGAGGGGACATGACATGGCGAACACCAGGTACTTGCGCCGAGGGAAGTCCTGATGGGGGGGGTGAGGGAAGAGGGTGGAATGGGAGACACATGACAAAGCGAACACGATTTACTTGCGTCGGGGGAAGGGGGAAAAGTAAGGGGGAGGGGGGAGGACAAGCAAGGATGGGAAAGCATGGAAAAGCATGGTGCTTATGGAGAGCATGGCGCATATGGAGAGCATGGCGCATATGGAGAGCATGGCGCATATGGAGAGCATGGTGCATATGGAGAGCATGGCGAATATGGAGAGCATGGCGCATATGGAGAGCATGGCGCAGGCCATGTGAGGCACGATGCGCGTAGACCATGTGAGGCATGATGCATACCGACAGCATGGCGAAGGGCATGTGCGGCACGGGCCAGCACGCCTCAGGCCAATCACCACATCCTGCTGACGTGGCATCACCGCTGCCGTTCCGGCTGCTCGCCAACAACCCCTCCTCCACCTCGCGCGCGTGCGCGCACACAGCGTCAATTCCGGCGGTGATATTCTCCATGCGCGTCAGTCGGTCCGCCAGCATCCGCCGCACGTACGTGCTGCTCGTCAGCCGCGCCAACACGCCGCGCTTCCACTCCCCCGTGCATATCTGCCCCACGCCGCGCGACTGCTGCCTCTCCACCTCTTCCTCTGGTAGCGGGTTGGCGTTTAGCGGATCGGTTGGGTATTGCTGAGTTCCTGACGCTCCTGAATTTGTCCGCCGTACGAACGCGTTCTTTAAGGACGTGAATGAGTTGGGTATGCAGCTTGAACGGATTGCCGGGTCGTTGCTGCTGCAGTTATACTGTAACTCGCGCTCTCTTGCGAGTTGGGCCCACTGTTGCAACGCGTTACAGAGGCTGGCGTTACAACTCGTAACTTTAGAGACTACGTCTTGAACATTATCGTCTGTACTTGGAGAATAAACGTATTGCCTATCGGAGTGACTGCGAAGCACGTCAACGCACGAGTCTGAGAAGTTGAACTTCGTCCGCTTTATCTCGACAGACGCGAGCCAGGCGCTGTCACGATCCTCGATGTGAGTGTCTCCAACGAATTCAATAACAGCCGCATGAGGTCGACCGAAAGAGACGGGAAATTCCACATAAAATAGAGCATCGCATATTAGAACGACTGCTAAGGCGATAAGTACGGGAGTCGGTATTGACAAGCACCAAACCGGCCGCTTTATTTGCCAATTTAGTAGAGGTTGGCACATGAGAGGTGTCTCTAATGTGGACGATGGTTCTTCCTCGTCTCTTCTAACGTCACCTTGCGCTCCCATGATCACGATTCGCAAGTCGTGACTGTTTGCAAGAGCTGTGACACGAAAGCTAGAACGTCAGTAAAGGCGTAGTGTTTTAGCCTGCTAATGCTTATGTTCGGAAAGGGGATATGTCAAAGCTACTCCGAGATAAGCGACCTGATGGCCATGTACTGCGATCACCACCTTATGGCGACGACATAGTTATGAACGGAAGAGTGCCTAGTAGTCCACAAGACATCTGGACTGGAATCCTTGTGTGGACTCACTAGCTGCTTGGGAAAAGTAAGGTATGTGCGATGCGTTGCTGTAGCTTGGCTTCAACCCAGGGAGTATAAGTGCTCATGTCATGTCACAGGCAGCACAGGCAGCCGACTCAAGGGTGTGCTACCTAGGGATTTCCTTACACGCGGGAGCGGGAAGCACAAACGCGCTGAATGCGACTGGCTGACGGTAGCGACTCAAGGAAGCCGTTCGATCCACGGTTTGGTCACGCAGCGCATCTCGATAGTGACACCGCTGCAGGCATGTTCATGTCGGAGTGTCAGAGACGGCCTTCAGGTTCAATTGACTCGTTTGTTGCCTCCTCGTTAAGTCTTAACATTCCGTGTCTGGTACATGTTTTTTGGGTTGCGTAGCAACCCTATACATTTGGTTTCACTTTTTGGGGAACTGACGTGAACAGTGATTTTCCCCATCAATTTTGGAAGAACCACTATTCACATAAGTTCCACAAAATGTGAAACAAAATGTGCATAACCAATCATTCCATAGTCGTCGATAAATACGGCGAATGGAACAATCAGTTGTACCAAAACTTGATAACAAACGACAACACCCTAAGACACGCAAACAAGGACTAAAACAAAGACGCATTACTCAAACAAATTACCACACACTCAAAACGTGTAAAGAAAACCACGCATGAAAATCGTGCATGTTTCACGGCGAATCGTACTAAATGCATCAATGCTGCAACTAAGATTGATATGGTACGGAAGAGGCGAGCAAAGCTGCCCCACCGACGATGACAACCTGAGTTGCATACACGATGCACTTTGTTAAACTGTTATATGTTGGTAGGCTGTAGTGGGGTAGCCAGTATGGGGTACAACCCCAACTAGGGTTAGCTACTTGTACCCAACTGTTTCATTCAATGCACCATTCTCACGCTAGTATTTGTCAGTGATAACGGACTGGAATGGTGAACTAGAAAGGATTGTGAGTACAAATATGAAACCCTAATGTTGTGACCCCCCTATAGGCTAACCCACTACAGCCTACACAAACACAACACATATAATGTTTGACACACCCCCATAGGCAAAGTGGGGGAGACCTAGGGGTCACAAGACCAGTCAAGGCAAAGCAAGGCAACAACAAGCTCAGGGTGGATCTCAAGGATACCACACAAATTCCGAGCACAAGCTAGTGGTCACAAGACCAGTTCACATGCAGGTTTATAACAGAGCATGAGATACAGTGATCACAACCTAGCAAGAGTAAACATGCAGGTAGATATATATATATAGTGATCACAGTACAAGCAAGGTCAAGAGGTAAGTAAGTGAGGTCCAGTAGGCACAAGGCCTAGCAGAGTGCAGAAGCGCTGATGGTCACGAGGCTGAAGCGCCTTGGTGAACACATCAGCAAGGTTGGCCTCAGTGGCCACGTAACGCAGACAAAGCTGACCACGCTGCTGCAGCTCTCGAGCAAGGAAGTACCGCAGGGCGATGTGCTTCGTTCTGTGCTCCAGTCTGTGCTCCTCACACAAGGCAATGGCAGCCTGGTTGTCGACGTACAGCACTGGAGGAGAACGAGGCCGCTCACCCAAGTCGGTCAGCAGGTAGGTCAGCCAGCGTAGCTCCTGGGCAGCCATGGCTGTGGCGTGGATCTCAGCCTCACAACTGGAGCTGAGAACAGAAGAAGAGCGTGTAGAACGCCAAGAAACTGAGCCGGAGCCAAGGCTGAAGGTGTAACCCTGAGACGACCGCTGAGTAGCCTGGTCGTCCGCCCAAGAAGCGTCTGAGTGTCCAGTAAGTACAACTCGGTCTCGCCCTCCAAGCACTAGCCCCATGCCCGACGTACTGCACAAGTAGCGCAACACCCTCTTAGCGGCATCCATGTGCTCCTTCCTGTGACGGCCAGGAGCGACATAGCGTGCAAGGATGCTAAAAGGGTATGCAAGGTCAGGTCGAGTGCAGGTCATCAGGTACATGAGGCAGCCCACAAGCTCTGGATACGGGCCACTCGGCTCTACGGACTCATCCGAAGGCAGAGCTGAGAGCGAGTGACCGGTAGGCAGAGGAGTGGACTGAGGCGAGGAGTACGTGAAGCGGAAGCGCTGAAGGATCTGCTGCACCATGTGTGACTGAGTCAAGGTGATGGTGCGCCGTGCTCTGTCCCGGGTGATCCGCAAGCCAAGATAGCTTGTCAGTTCACCCAGGTCTGTACACGTGTGTCTCCTCTGCAGCTCCGACTTCACGTGGGCAAGTGCCGCGGTGTCAGCAGTGGCAAAGACCAAGTCGTCGACGTACACGAGGATGTAGAACGGCGGCAGTGAGGTGTCTGTGCGTAGAAACAGTGACGGGTCAGCAGTAGAGGGAGCGAACCCAAGAGTCGCAAGTGTCGTCCTCAGTGTGTCGTGCCACTCACGCGGTGCCTGGCGGAGACCGTAGACCGGCCGCTGAAGCCTCCACTGGGTACCAGGAGGTGTCAGATTATGTTATTTGTCTAGCCTGCAGTGGGGTGCTCAATAGTGAGTACAACCCCTTAGGGTTTCCTATATGTATCCTGCTGCTTGCTAGTTCAACTCATCATTCCCATTCTCACTTCTCCAATTCTCCTTCGTATACCACAAACCCTAGTCCTAGGGCACATCCTACTACCTCTTAGTGTGGGCCTAGGCTACTAAGCCTAGGCCCCACTCCTAGTATTCCTGACATGGTATTCAGAGCAGGCACGTTCCTGCCGCCTTCCTGTATGGGCCCACCACCTGCTTCCGCTGCCGTACTGTCCGCCGCGCGCCCCGTGGTGCGCGGCGGCCAAACCCTAATTTTTCATCCCGCCGCGCGCTCGGAGCGTGCGGCGGTTTTCTGCCCGCCGTGCGCCCCGAGGCGCGCGGCGGCTTTCTGCCCCGTCACTCCGCGAGTCGCCCCCGGGAGGAGCTGCGACGGGCGACGGGGAGCCGCGCGTCGCCCCCCGTCGCCCGTCGTGGCCCGAGCGACCTCCGTAGGGCCCGCGGGCGGCCCGTCCAGCCTGCGCGCGGCCCGTACGGGCTGCGCCAGGCCCGCGCGCGGCCCGTACGGACTGCGCCCGGCCATGGCGCACCTCGAGCCGCCCGCCACTGCAGCAGCAGCCCCTGGAGCCGCCCGCAACTGCAGCAGCAGCCCCTGGAGCCGCCAGCACCTGCAGCAGCAGCCCCTGGAGCCGCCCGCAACTGCTGCAGCAGCCCCTGGAGCCGCCAGCAACTGCAGCAGCAGCCCCTGGAGCCGCCAGCAACTGCAGCAGCCGCCCCTGGAGCAGCCGCCCCTGGAGTCGCCCGCCACTGCAGCAGCCGCCCCTGGAGCCGCCCGCCACTGCAGCAGCCGCCCCTGGAGTCGCCCGCCACAGCAGCAGCCGCCCCTGGAGCAGCCGCCCCTGCAGCAGCCGCCCCTGGAGCCGCCCGCCACTGCAGCAGCCGCCCCTGGAGTCGCCCGCCACAGCAGCAGCCGCCCCTGGAGCAGCCGCCCCTGCAGCAGCCGCCCCTGGAGCCGCCCGCCACTGCAGCAGCCGCCCCTGGAGTCGCCCGCCACAGCAGCAGCCGCCCCTGGAGCAGCCGCCCCTGCAGCAGCCGCCCCTGGAGCCGCCGCCACTGCAGCAGCCGCCCCTGGAGTCGCCCGCCACAGCAGCAGCCGCCCCTGGAGCAGCCGCCCCTGCAGCAGCCGCCCCTGGAGCCGCCCGCCACTGCAGCAGCCAACCCTGGAGTCGCCCGCCACTGCAGCAGCCGCCCCTGGAGCCGCCCGCCCTACCCTACCTGCTCCGCGCTGTTGCTCTGCACGCGCGGTTGCCCGCGCCCTCGTGCGCTCTACCCTACCTGCTCCGCGCTGTTGCTCTGCACGCGCGGTTGCCTGCGCCCTCGTGCGCTCTACCCTACCTGCTCCGCGCTGTTGCTCTGCACGCGCGGTTGCCTGCGCCCTCGTGCGCTCTACCCTACCTGCTCCGCGCTGTTGCTCTGCACGCGCGGTTGCCCGCGCCCTCGTGCGCTCTACCCTACC